CTTTTAATTTTAGTTTTGAAAACCAAATTAAATTTAAAAAATCCCTAATTTAGCAATTATGGAAATCCCAAATTAAATTTTGAAAACTTTATGGTTGGCCAAGTGGTGAAAAAAAGACAAGAAGACAGTATCGTAGCCCGGTATTCAAAACTGCAAATTTTAGATTTTTGAAATTTTGTATTATTATAAATTTTGTGATTTTTTCAAATTTAATTGGTTTTCAAAATTAACACAATTAAAAACAATTTAAATTAAAGTTTAAGTTATGTTTTTTTATAAATTTGAGATTTTTTGGAATTTTTTAGTTGTTGTTTGAATTTTTGTAATTTTGGGATTTTACAAACTTTATAGAAAATATTAAAAACAGAAACTATAAAATTAATTGTTATTTTCATATTTAGAAAAAAAATTCGATTTTTTTTTGTTTTAAATTTATTTTATGATTTTTTCAATAAAAATATGCTTTTAAAATAAAAATATGTTTTTTAAGAAACTAATTTCATATTGACCGTAAAATTAACAATTTGTTTTTTTCAATAAAGTCCAATTTGTAATTTTTAACATGTTTATATATAGTTGATGTATGTCCCTATGTGTAGTTTAGAGAACATTTTTTATACTTTGGGATGGTTTACAACATATTAGTCTATAGTTCGTGAAGTTTGGATTGATTTTTCTATTCATTTATATACAATGCAACAATTAATCTATATATATATATAATTAGTTTTTCTCTCTTTTCATGTATCCACATGATAATTAGTTTTACTTGAATAATAAATTACATATTTAATAGGTCGAAGTTAAAAGGTTATTTTCAAAATATTATTTCAAAAATGATATATCTATATAATCAAAGAAGAATGTAAATAAAAAAAAACTCATATACGATAAAGATACATAAGAAGAAAAACAATAAATAATCATAATATACAAAAAAAATTATTTATCAAAGATGAAAAATAAATAAAAACACACGATGAATATTAAAAAAAAAAACATAATCATGCTATTGAAAGAGGTTAAAAAACAATTGATAATTTTAATCTTCAAAATTTTAATCAGTTATTTAGATAACAAATTTTCAAACAAATATATTTATTTTTAAATAGTAACCATCGATATCGAAGTGAAATAAAACTTTTCATCGCTAGCTAGTATAAATATATATTTTCAAGTGGGTTTTTTTTTTTTAAATTTTCCTTTATATATGTTGCTAGAAAAAGGTACGATTTTATTTTTTATAATAAGACTAGAATAGGATCTGCGTTAATACGCGGGTACATACTATAAAAATTAATGAAATAAATATTTGAATTTTAATTAGTTACCTATTAAATTTAAAAAAAACTATTTAACGTGGATTCTAAAACCAGTTAAGTCAATTTATATCATAATTCTAATATTCTAATACACATCATGCAAATCCAAAAACAACTATTATGAGAATTTAAATCATATTCTTAATAACAGATAAAATATATATTTTAACACATTATGAATATTTATGAATATCTG